CGACTTCGACAGTTTCTCACACAGATCGCGATTAACAGAGTGCAACGAATGTTTGCTCGTGGATCAGGCTGATTTGTGAAGTATCAATTGAAAGTTGAGTTGACTGTCAGGGTATTTCTGTTCTCGTGGATATTTTAGAATAGTTAAAATATTTTAGACTAGTTAAAATGGAATAAATATCGGCCACAAAATAATTTCAAATAACGCAAATGAGCAGATAACAGCGTAATAGCTCGCATTAGCGTGCTTGCTCTTATATGCAATCTCTTATAATCTAAATGTTAAAAACTTGTCTATGAAGAAACTTTTAAGAATAATTATTATTAAGTGTTCTTACGAGTTCTTTTACGCGATTTATCACGATATTATTTATTTTATAAATTTACTTTATTTCATAAGATTTTATAATTCATTTTGTACAAATTAATAATATTCTATAATTTATATCTAATTCTATAATTTATTCTATATAAATAAATGATATATTATTGCGTTAAATTAATTATAAATTTATTTTGTAAATTTTCAAAATAGTTTACTTTAATGTGATAGAAGAAAATTCGTTTATTTTATCTTATTTTGCTACTTAGTATAATTGATATTTTATTTCTACTTCAACATTGGTGCACATAAATAATAATAGCCACAAATAGTTATTTAGAACAGTTCATTTTAAAATAATTTATTTATGTTAAAAAATACTATTTTAAGTAATACTATTAAATACTATTTTAAATACTAATTGTTTACTAGGTTTTTAAGCTATTTTGCATAATTTGCTTCAATTTTACTTTATCATTTATCATAATTACCTACTTCAATATTGGAGGACAGTTCACGGAAAATTCCGGTAAAATAAAACACAGTTCTATCGGTGCACAATATTTTATGAAAGTGAAACGTCGACACGTGTGTAATATAAATACAATTGTGACAGTCAGCGTGATAGAGTGATACGAACGTTGAAAAATCTCATTCTTCAAATAGATCTTATATTATACGTATTACGTCAACTTTAGAGTGTCGAATGTTTATCTTGGATGTTACACGCGCAGTTAAGTTCAGTTAGCCAACGACTGATGATCTGGTAGCCAAGATTTTCGACTGACGAACTCTGTTGGACAACTGATAAACATTGATTTTTCTTTGAGTGGATCGGATCTAACTTGTTTTCTGGAGCGAAGGGAATGTCATTGAAAAAAAGGGGGACAGCGTGTTCGTGATATCTTATAATAATAATAATCGTGACATCTAAATAATAATAATAATCGTAAAATCGAGCCGACGGAAAACTCGACACGTGCCAATTCTCATTTCGAGAACGAATGGATTAGATTCAAATACATTTGAAGCGGAAGAACCATACTGTCAGATCACTGTTGATCTACTAAAGATCAGCCTGTCGCCTATTATAATTCTATCTTTCTTATTATTACAAACTACAAGGAAGCAAGCTGAACAGTAAACGAGGCAGGCTTTTAATTTTAAACAATCAGAAACAATCGAGATGAAGTGACAAATCCTATCATACTTGCATTTTGCGAGCTTCGTCGCAAATTGAGCAGAAGCAAACAAATCTATCGCAGAAGTATACCGATCCGATTAATTCTCGAAGTGAAGTGAATTCCAGAGAGAAAATATGAAACTGTTATCGGTGGTGTTAATTTGCACGATATTATCGGCATGTCACGGATACCGGATATTAGGCGTGTTTCCGTTCAACGGAAAGAGCCACTTCATAATGTTCGAACATCTGATGAAGGCTTTGGCCAGAAAAGGCCATCAGCTCGATGTGATTAGCACGTTCCCTTTGAAGAAACCGTATCCGAATTACAACGACATGATCGTGCTGCCAACGGAAAGGGAATTCATGAATAATATAACCTACGATGAAGTGAACACGCTGTTTAGGGACTCGGTTTGTCACGTCGTGGCTAATTTGGCCGGGAACCTTGTTTGCGAACATTTGAAAAATCCACAGATTCAGGAGCTTATACAAAACCCGCCTAAGGATCCACCTTACGACGCGATCGTCATGGAGGTATGAATTACAACGGAAGCATAGAAATAGAAAATTTATATAATTCTTTTTGCACTTTGAATTGTCACTGCAATTGATAAATTTCATTAATTTAACTTTATATAATATTAATTATTAATTTTAATACATTATTTGTACGGTAATTTGAATGTTAAGTCAAACGTGCGTACAACAGGTAGAATGAAATGCGCGTGAAAGAAGTCAAATATACATAGAACAAAATATGTTTGAAAGAATGCAATTGAATAGACGCGGAACGTAAAATATAAGTGACCGTTTATTTTATTAAAATTATCAGTGGTGATAAAGGAGACGACGTTTTGGCAAAGTTTACAATTGTAAATTCCTCCTCATTTTACGAAGCAAACCGCAGTTTATGAGCATTTACACCGGGATAAAGCTTTTCTAGCAAGTTTTTGGAAGAAGCACGTTATGGAAAGTTGAAGGAAATACTTGTTGTGAAAGAACATTCTCAAAGAAAATGATTTGGATTATAAAAATATATTAAAATGCATCGGTATGTTAAAATACGTGGATCGAAAATTTACCAGAGATGTCAACTTTTCATTGTTCAGTTCAAATGTATTTTTAACACCAGTCAATGATTCCGAAACTGATATAAATTGCGAAAACGATATAACGTTACGAGAAGAAATTGTAAAATCTACAATTACAATTCGAAACTTACAATTTGCAAGTGAAAATATCAAGCAAGATTAGAATCAAGTATTTTAGAAGATTATGTGCATTGGAAAATTTTATCCACTGTTATATAACGTTTATTCTTATGTTACATAATGTACATTCCACATAATTTATCTTCCCTTGATTTTTCTCAATCTATTTCTCCGCCCCCCCTTTGCTCCTCCGGTTCTGTCATTGTTATTACGTTATGTATTGCATGCACTTGCGTAATCAACTTTGACAATAATGATTTGCTGTTTTTGAAAATCTTTCGAAAATAGTGTAACCTTTCACTTTAGGTTAAACTGATTGCAATAATTGGCACGTTTTAACGATTACATTCGACGATATGTAACGATAGATATATACATTGAGACAAATATTTCTTAAAGGCAATATAGAATGCGAATTGTCGTTAAGAAATGGTTATTTAGATGAAATTAGATCCTTCAGTTCTCAATTTTTTAAAGATTTTTTTTTTTTTTTTTTTTTTTTTTTGTTGAGATATCTGTTAAATCATTTCTCAATATTTTAATGTTCGTTTCACAATATTCCATTTTTGTCGTCGGAGTAATTTTGATTGACTGTCCCATTGTTGTACAGATCCACTTGGCGATTGTTATAAAATAAATCGCATAAGTATTTTATTAACGTCTTATTAACGAATGATATTTTTACATATAGCTATACGTTTACTAACACACAAGTAGCCACATGTTGCTTCGGTGTAAATGAAGCAGTATCGATTATTGAAAATTTCGTAGACTAACAATTTGGCTTGTTATCGAGAAACGATATCAAAATCACCACTAGCTCACCGATCTATCCATCGTTCAACTTACTATTAGACCCCGAAGGCAATATTAAATCTTGCTGCAAACATTAAATCTTCGAGGCAATAGTCTATTAGTTGCGATTTCCTTGGGACATTTACTCTTAACTCGATACTTCAAACTACGCGGTTGCCTTTAATGATGCAAAATACGTGGTTACCTTTAAATGATGCAATCTAATAAAATATTCAATAATTTTTTGGAACGTAAGCATCTTTTTTGGAGGTTCATCTTAGATTATTTTGATATAATTACAATAGATATAAAAATCGCCATCTACGGAGAATAATTAGTAGCGTTCTTCCTATATAATTTTCAGAAATTTTAAGACTTTATTACACATTCTTAAATACAAAAAAATGTCGATCTTCTTGTAACAGATATTTCGATAGAGAAAATCGAAATTCCTCTGGAGGACAAAAATGGAATATTGAGAAACGTACGATATCGAGGAATAACTCAGAACAACAACAAGAAAATATCTTAAAATGTTGAGAACTGAATTTTGAAAATATTTTAATTTTTACAGGGGCTAGGAGCCATTTGAAATAATTCGAACCATGTTTCTTAAATAGCACAGTTTCATTTATTCTGTTTCCAAACAATGATTTGATAATTCTATTCGAATAAATAAATTTCCACTTTGTTTCTGTGACAACAAAAGTAAATTTACACGACAAACTGAATATCATGCTGCAAAACATTTTACGTGAATCGCTTCTTAGTAATGACATGTTATGCAATATTTTCACAATATAAACGTAAAGTTGAGTAACTTCTGTTATATAATAATTTCACATTTTCTGATGTATCATATACACGTACCCAGTAATTTCTATTAATCTGCCTTTATCTTGTTTAATTCTACTATCATAGTGGCGAATCATTTTCCGCAATGTCATTTCTTTAAAAAAAAAGAAAAACCATCGATGATGTTTTCACTATGTAAAGAATGTTCAAAAATTCAACCCAACTTCAATAGTAATTGCATAATTTAGACAAGACGACGTAGAAATGCAAGTAATTACATAATAAGCTAGTGTAATTTTGTGCTTCCTTTTCTGCTTTTCAACAATTTGAGAAGATTTGAAACGAACTTCGTGAAAACAAATTGCGTTTTCAAATATTCGTAATTTTATTCTCCTTCTCTTTCTTGATCTTGATCAATTGAAATTGCAACAAGATTATAAATTTACAACAAACATCAACTCAAAAAAAAAATCAACTGAGAACAAGATATTTTCAGCAACTAAGTTCAGTAACACCTAATGCAATTGTATCATTTCTTTATTTTCAACAGTCGAATCTCAAAAGCTCATAACGAATCTCAGGTCGAACAATTTGTAAAAAAATAAACCATGCTTCGTTTGGTATTTGCAACACTCAAGCCATATACTTTTATTCTTTGGATATTTGAATTTAAAATATTTAAAAAAATATCAAGAAAAAATCAAATATTTATAAAGATCAAAATATTTATAAAAATAAGATATTTGCAGTAGCTAAGTCAGCATCTAATACAATCTTATCTTTTAATTTATCTTTTCTTTTCTCCATCCAATCGAACTTCAAAAAGTTCGAATTTGCAATAAATTTCAAGTCAAATAATTTAATAAAGTAAAAACCGCGTTTATTTAATTTTATTTCCAACACCTGTGTTAACAGTAGTTCTATTTTCTCTCTCTCTCTCTCTGACAATCGAACCTTTAAAAAACCCAATGGATGTCAAATAAAAAAAATTTAGAAGAATAATCCGCGTTTGTTTCGAACCCTTTTCAGGTATTTGGTGCGCACTGTTTCGCAATACTGGGTGACGTTTTAAAAGTACCAGTGATAGGTGCGAGCTCCGCGGTCCTTTATCCGTGGATCTACGATTTCATCGGAAATCCGAACAACTTTGCGTTCGCGCCATCCAACATCCTCTCGTATTCGCAGAATATGAACTTCTGGGAGAGAATGCACAATTTCCTGAATATCATTAACGCTAAGTGGGAGTTCAACAGAGTGTCCAGCGAACAGACAAACATCGTGAGGAAGTACGTGAGCCCTGATGCGCCGGACGTGAGACAACTGGAGAAAAAGATATCGATGATACTCGTCAACTCGCATATATCGATAAATGGGATCAAGGACATGATCCCCGCTTACGTCGAAGTTGGAGGATTGCACGTGCAAGAAGAGGGAGTCGAATTACCCGCGGTAATTTCTATTTTTCTCTTTTCTCTTTGCACTCGAATAATATGCTTGAAACGCGATAAATCTGATAGAAGTGAAGCTTCTTTTGTTTATCCGTCGCGTCGTCGTCCGAACTACAGAGAACGACGTTTCTTGTTCCCTTGTTGGTAATTGTTTAGACGCAGAGACGAAAAATCGGACCAAATTAAGGGTTGAAACTGTATTTCCTAGAATATCTTGCAAGTTTCTTTCCTTAAACTACGTATCCATCAGACGGGGAAATTTAGCTATTTGTCTCGATTATAAGAATTTGAATCTCTGATTTATTTTTCTTAACAAACGGTGGTACGTTATCAATCTTCACGAAAATTCAGACTCGAAATTTCTAACTTCATTTGCATTGAATTATTTACTTCGTATATCTTCTAAGACTATCCTATCTACATGTGACTTTGTCTAAATATTGCGTCGTGGTTTAAAAAATAGAATCTCCAAGATCTTAAAAATCTATCGTTATATTTGAGAAAAACGATTCGAAGCTGCAATAAAGAAACTTGTTTTCAGAGTCTGGAAAAATGGATGAACGAGAGCACGCACGGTTTCGTTTACTTCTCGTTCGGTTCGATGGTGAAGATCGAGTCCTTCCCAATCAAGCACCTTAACATCTTCTACAACTCCTTAGGAAAGATAGCACCTGTCCGTGTTCTCATGAAAATCGCAAAACCAAACGAGCTTCCACCTGGTCTGCCGAAGAACGTCCACGTCTTACCATGGATACCGCAAGTCAAAGTTCTCAGTAAGTAGTCGTCACTAAACACATTTACAAAGGGAAGGGAACAAAGACACTTCAAGAACAGATCAAATTTGCAAAGTTCGTCAAGGACAAAAACTCTTGAAGTAATCTTACTAAGACGGAGTCTCTTAAGGGACTTTAAATTGTTTATTTTGATGGAAGACGTAGACATTGAGAGACAATTTTATATAATAAAAAAGATTAATAAAATTATAATAAAATATTTATTTGTAAAATTAATACTAAAATACGAATAAAATTATAAATAAATATATTTAATCCTTAACACTCTGTTACGGAGACATCTAATATTTGTTTCGTGGCTCCACTGGAGACATTTGCAATTAACACGATTACGTTTAAAATGCTGTGTCACCATCGGCGTTGGCTATTTGTTCCTTTACTTGTAGTGCAATACTTCGGCAATTTTAATTTAATTTTAAATTATTTTTTAACTTTTTCTTTCTATCAACAAAAGCATGGAAAAAGAACAATGTTATGATGAGAAATTCATTTGACTTTAAAGTATTCAAAGATCAAGTTTAAGCATTTTATCGTCTGAAAACAGTATAAGTGGCTGTGATTCCGATACTTCTAAAAATAATAGCGAAATTATAGTACGAAAGAATTGGAGTTACTAAAAGTGAGAGCGAGGATTTACCAAAAAAAAAAATAGACATAGATGAATAGCGTGGTGATGTTGCAACGAATTTAGAGATGGCAGAAAGAATAAATTTTAGTGTATGGCCAAATGTCGTTGAAAAGAATTAATATTACTAGAATTACATTTAATAAATTACTTAATATTATTAGAATTAACATGAAATATTTGATATGATCAGAAATTTAATGCTATCACTTGAAATGGCGTTAAGAATTAAACAGAATTTAATATTAAATATCTGAATTGATTAGGAATTCAATGGTATCCTTTGAAACAATGGTGTCCTTCAATTACGCTCCGGCGTAGTATGAATAAATTCAACATTCGTCTACGATTTGATTCAACTTTCAAAGACGAAAATATAATATTTAAACGTCAGTTTAAAAGTTAGTCAGACTAAATCTCAACAATATAATCTCGAAACATTCAATTTCTAATATCCTCGGCACTTGAACTTCCTACGTATTGCTAATAGTTTGGTAATTCAATAGATAGTTCAGTAGATTAACTTGCGTCTACCCGCATCTTGTTTACACGAGCCAGTTAATGTTGAGCCCCAGATATACGAACTCGTAATTAATCAACTTCTGTTACCCTTATCTCCTATTATCCGAACTCCGAAAGCTTTTGTCTTCTGACGTGTTTGGATGAACGAAGTTCTATTGCATATATACATATAATATGTATATATATATATATATA